TATTTCTTTTCTTTTTCTTTACTATATTCTTATTTTTTCTTTCTTTTCTATTTTTCTATTTGTTTTCTTTTCTGCACTTTCTATTTTTTTTATTCTTTTATTTTTTTTATTTTTTTTAGTTTGTATTAGTTTTTATCTTTTTAACTGTAATTTTTAATAAAATTGTTATAAAAAAAAAGCATTTTCTTAAAATCTCTGAACCACTCTTGGGCCACAAAGGGCTCAGCTCATCCACATGATCTGAGCATAAATCCACCAACACACACACACGTTATAAAGAAAACAAACCAAGTTGATAACCCAGCTACTGACTTTTCTGTATCAGGAATAGCAACACATCTTTATCATCACAAAAATTCATACAGGTAGCCCTTGACCTATGACCATTCGTTCAGCAACCATTCGAAGTTATGACAGTGCTGAACGAATGGCAATTATGACCAGTCCTTGGAGTTCCAGCCGTCCTAGCACCCCCACGGTCATGTGATCGCGATCTGGGCACTTGGCAACTGGTTCGCACTTACAACTGGTTGCGGTACCCTGCGATCATGTGATTGCCATTTGTAACCTTCCCTGCCGGCTACCCCAGAAAGTCAACAGGGACGCCAGCAGGGAAGGTCACAAGTCACTTGTGTATCCCCATGCACCCTTCCTGACACTTGCCTCCCTCAGACCCTTGCACATCCTCCCAGATCTGTGCCTCTCGTGCACCCTCCCTGATACCCTCTTGCTCCCTCCCCCACCTGGAGCAGCCACTTATCTGCCTGCTGGCCTGGGATTTGCAACTTCCTGCAGCTTCCCCACTGGCTTTGGTTGTGGGAAGCTGGCAGGAAGTTGCTTTGCCTAATGACCGTGGGATTTGGTTAACGACGGCAACTGGGATTGCAGAAATTGGCATCACTAAGCAATGCAGTCTCGCTTTATGGCCGCATCACTTAGTAACAGAAATTCCGGTCTCAGTTGTTGTTGTAAGTCAAGGACTACTTGTACAAGTTACTCTTCCTTCCTGACAATAGAGTATAATTCCTTCCCCGCCCAACCAATTTCCCCCTCCCACTTCCAACTAACCTCCGAGATAGTGCTGCCTTTGCCTCCCCTCAGACTCCAGGGAACTAACTGTGACCTCTGGCAAAGGAACCTAAAAGAACAAAGAACAAGCTGTAGATAATGGCCCCACTGCATTTTCCCACTGTCTACTTTTACCTGGTCAGCAATTACATCCAGATTGATTAATATCGGCTGGGCACATGCAACATTTAACCTGGTTACTGAATTAACCATTTTCTGGGTTCACACAACATTACCGAGGCTAAGCAAGCTAAAAGCTGACAAGGCTTAATGCACTGTGCAAGGCAACCACTAGGTCCTTAATTAATTAACCTGGTTCAAGCATATCATGGAATTTCAGCCATTCAATGGCTGCCTCATAAATCCGGCTAACCAGGGTGGCAAGGTTTAATCAGCAGAACAGCCTTCTCCAAACTGGAGCCCTCCGGATGTGTCAGACTCCTCCCCCAGCCACTGTACATGCTGGATAGGAATCAGAAACATCTCCAGCAACCAATCATCCTTCCTGCAAAGAGAAACAGAGGGCATTCAGGTCTCCAGTGTAAGTATCTCACCTGCCAGTCATAGGTCCTGGGCGCATGACGACGGCCCATCAGGAAATCCTCTGCCAACGCTACCATTTCGACACAGTCCTTTGGCCCACATTCCCGCACCCAGTTCTGCACTTCAGTCGGCAGCATACCCAGAAGCTGCTCTTGGATGATCATTTCCATGATCTGCTCCTTGGTGTGCCTCTCAGGTTTCAACCACTGGCGACAAAGTTCCTGGAGCTGGCTATACACCCTCCGGGGACCTTCCAGCTCCTGGTAACAGCACTGCCGGAAGTGCTGTCGTTTCATTTCCATGCGGAGTGCGTCTGCTCGCAGGATGGCGGCCTTCACCTTCATGTAGTCTCCCCTCTCTCGGGCATCCAGCCTGCAGAAGGATTGCTCCATTCCTCCCCGCAATGCTGGCAGGAGCTGGCCCACCCATTCTTCTCGTGGCCACCGGCAAGCTTCAGCAACTTGCTCGAAGGCCGCCAGAAACGCCCGAGTGTCGTCCCAGGGCATCGTATCTGTTAGCTGAAGGTTTCCCCAGCCCACATGGGCTGGCTGGAGTGTGTTTAAAAATTCCTGCCACTGGGCTTCCCACTGCTGGGGTAACCCCACATCTGGCTGCTGGTTCAGCTGCCTCGGCAGCCCCTTAAAATACATCACCTGGACAATCCGTGGGACTTTTCCTGAGCCCTCCAAGCCCTTTTCCATGTCTTGTCCCTTGCTCTGAAAATGAGATACACCACAGGCAGCTCCTATGGCGTTTGGTGTCTTCCAAAGATTTCAGTGGGTCTTCTCTTCAAAAGAACCTCATAAAGGGGGAAGGGGTGGGGAGGTGTTTCTGGAAGATAAATAACAATTAGCATGTCAACATGAGAGAGATTAAAAAAACTTCAAATTTTTAAAAGCTTGAAAAAAAAAAAGAAATGTTTCTCTTGTCAGTGTATAACTTGACTCCCGTTTTCTCAAAGCAGTTTAACACATAGCAACTTTAACATTTAGATCGTGTGGGAACTGGGATAACCACAGGGGGAAAACGGTAGGGTGCCTAAAATTCAGAAGACCTTTACAATTCTCCTTTGGGGGGATGTTTCCCAGCAGACAACTTCTTTGAAACTATGGACTAGATCTGCTGCCTGCCACCCTTTCCAACAAGTTCTCTTTTAAAGAAGAACCAGATGAAATTAATTAAGTTAGGGGCTGGATCCACTCCTAGGGCTGCATGCTCCCAACCCCTGGTTTAGTAGGAAGAGGCTTCCTGTCACAAGTTCTCAGTAACCCCGAGCAACCTTCCCTCGCTAATGTGCCTTTCCCTAGTGCCTGATTGAGAAAGTTCTCATGTTTGTTTGATCTGCATTTGTTCCACTAGGTCTGCAAAAATCTGAATTTCTGCAGCTCAGATCTGGTAGCCTGCCCTACTTTGAAGCTTCCTCCCTACAATCTCACTGCCAGAAAAAAATTCCCCTGCTCATTTTTATAATTTCATCCACTACAAAGAAATAGCAGGAGAAATAGCAGGTTTAAACGACACAAAACACAAACCTTCAAGCAGGGAGACCCAACTAGGATGCAGACCCTTCTCAATCGGACTTCCCCAACCAGATGGCAGAATGGCCTACAACTCCCATCATCCTTACTGAGCATCAGACTGAGCTCAACAGTTCTGGACAACCAAAGATTGAATGAGGCTGCTCTCAGTGGGAAGGATGGTGAGCCTCCAAGAGTAATCTGTTCATCCAGACTCCTGAAAAGGCCAGCAACTGTTGAAGGAGAAGGAAAAGACTTAATAACTTCATGATTCTGTTTTTGGATTGGAGGCTTTATTATTTATTATTTTAATATATTTTTAATGCCGCTTAGGGTTCTCTAGGAACAAGAATACCAAAAATAAAATCAATAATATCAATCAATATACAGTAATAACAACAATAACAGTGACACCTGGGGTGCCCCTGACTTTGGTATGTTAGGGATACATTCTAAAAAACAGGTTGGGCCAGGACAAAAATTAATATTTATTTCATTCAATTTATATGTACATTTAATTAAAAATGTAGTGAACATGACTACCCCCCCCATATGTTTACTAGACATACTATGCTCAACTACTCCCCCCATGTTCAATTAGGAGACAGCCACAAAATGTAGCATCATTAAAAAAAAAAGGGGGGGGGACTCCAAACTTCCTGTCTTACAAGCAATTCATGGAGGGGGAAAAAAAAATCAGACAAGCCAACTTCATCCATGTTGGTGATGCAGTCTTAGAGGCATTACTTGTAACCCTCAGCACCCCCCACAGGCACCAAAAGGTCACTGAACTCTGTTTGTTGTCTGTCTGTTAGTACTCAATTAGAAACAAAAATTGCCAGGCAGGGAAAAGTCCTACTTCCCGTCTTTCATCGTAAAAGAAGGCAAGACGGAAAAGCAGATACACAGAGAAAATTGCTTCCTGTTTTAACACAACACCCTAATGACAAGCAGATTTCATGGATGCTTCATAGACAAACTCTGGAACACAACAATTGTCATCCTAAGCACACTTTCCTGGGAGGTTTAATGATCTCCCCTAATTTAAAGAATATTTGGAGGTGCTCTGAGCGCCTGTAATGTATATGAGGGCCCAGAGTCACTTCCAGGGAGATGGGTGATGACAAATGTGAAACAAACAAACATACAAGGTTCAAGGTACCAAAAATATCAAAAGCCCCCCAGCAGATATTTGCTCTATGAAAATAAAGTTTTTAATTTCAAAACAGAAAAATTTCAATAGTCTTTATATATGAAAACCTGAATGAATTTTCTGGAAGTGAAGGCTTCTCTGTAAGAAGCCCATCCTCCTTAAATTATAATTTCAGGACCAAGGATTATAAAAGTAGTATGAGATGTTCTTTACATTTGCTGTATTAAAAGCATAAAATAAATGTAATTGGGCTAATTTTTAGGTAAAATTAAAAATAAACTTCACATGTACACAACTTTCATACCTATGTATAGACATGCATTCCCATCACACTGGTTATTCCCTTTTACAATAACTGAGGTTATGCAGAATGCAAAAAAGAACTAAGAAATAATAAGCCAAGGAAATTAAGTATATGAGATAAACCAGTGTTGTCCAAACTTGGCCACTTTAAGATGAGTGGACTTCAACTCCCAG